CCATGGTTAAGTCGATTCGGGGAAAAGAACTGTGCTACTTGGTGGATTTGCAGAGCATTGAGGAGGTTTGAGATTCAAGGTTGGAAGAGTTTCTAGAATGGGTCCAGTAGCTCCTACAGCAATTTACTGATATTTTCCAGCAGACAAGCGGGTTGGAGGGAGCACGAGCACACTAATACATTGCAGGAGGGTGTTCTCTCATAAGCGTCAGACCATACAGGTACCCCCAAATTCAGAAGAATGAAAGAGAGAAGTTGATATAAGAGATGCATAGGGTGGAATTATCAGGCTTAGTGTGAGCCCTTTTTCCAATCTCATCCTGTTTGTGAAAAAAAAAAGATAGTAGTTGGAGACTATTTGGACTATCGGGCTTTGAACAAAAAAACATTGTTGGACAGGTTTCCTATTCCTGTGATTGATGAGTTACTGGATGAGCTTTATGGGACAGCTATTTTTAAAAAAAATTAATCTGAAGTCGAGTACCACCAGATCATGATGAATTCAACAAATGAACACAAGTTAACATTCAGGACACATGTAGGATATTACGAGTTCGTAGAGATGTTATTCAGTCTCACCAATGTCACAGCGACATTTCAGTCCCTCATGAATAGGGTTTTTCAACCTCATTTTTGAAAATTTATCATGATTTTATTCTATGATATTCTAATCTATAGTTGTGTAGAGATAAAACACGGGGGCACTTGAGGACAGTCTTGGAGACGTTGAGGGGCACCAATTATATGCTAACTTAAAGACATGTACTTTTGCAAAGTTACAGGTGGAGTACATTAGACATGTGGTGACCAGAACATGTGTAGCGGTAAATAAGTCCAGCTATGGATGATTGACCCTTACCAAGGAGTTTGAAGAAGTTAAGAAGATTCTGGGGTCTCACCGGCTACTATCGGAAGTTCGTGAGAAGTTAAGGCACGATAACATGGTCACTAACAAAGCATTTGAAGAAAGACAATTTCGAATGGGGAGAAGCAGCAACACTGGCCTTTGAACATCTGAAGAGAGTCATGACTAGCGTGCCGATATTAGCACTTACAAGTTTCAGTAAATCATTTGTGGTTAAACGGATGCGCAAGGTATGGATTGGGAGCAGAGCTCATGCCGGACCAGCGACCGATTACATACTTCAATCAGGTTCTTACACTCAGAGCAAGGCTAAAGTGAGTATATGAGTGAGAATTGATGGCAATTGTCTTGACCATTCAGAAGGGCGACCCTACTTGTGGGACGACATTTCTTGGTCAAAACAGATCAGAAGAGTTTAAAGTATCTTCTGGAGCAGCGGATGGTGACTGAGTAGCATCAAAGATGACTATCCAAGCTACTGGAGTGTGAATTCAAGATTCAGTACCGGACATGATTAGAGAACAAGGCAGTTGGCGCGCTGTCGAGAAAGGTGGAGGAACTGAATTGACAGCCCTATCGGTACCCTTGGTCCTAGATTAGGAGGCCTTGAAACAAGAGAGTGAAAGGGACGAGGAGCTGAGTAAAATAAAGACTGAATTACTATAGGATTCGAACAAGCATTGAGGGGGCAACAGTTGCTCCACCAAGGGTGATTCATGCTACTGAAGTCAAAGTATTCTCAAATTATTACAATAGTTTGCAGCCTAAATAGCTCTTTCCAGAAGTGGTTGAGGAACACCTTGTCTCTATTTGATATAATCGATTATGACGCCCCATGCAAACAAACTACTTCCTGGATAAACACTATCGCGACAAAGATCACAGTGTAGGGATGTCGTAAAGAAATGAAACGTGCGTACTTACTTAAGTGATCCACAACCACCATAACTATCATGAACCCTTATGACCATGGCAACCCCTTAATAAAAGCCATTGCCACTTCTACCTAAACCTTCAGAAGACCTATAGTTGTCTGGCAGCAGAGCTTTATTGGGTGGGAATGCGTAGAGACATGCAAGACATGGTGACAAACTATGATGTGTGCCAGCACCACAAATACTTGACCATAGCACCAGGGGGGTTACCACAACCATTAGCATTATCGGAGAAGATTTGAGTAGAAGTGACGATGGATTTTATTGAGGGGTTGCCACGTTCAGAATGGTTCACAATGATTATGGCGGTCATGGATCGCTTAAGTATATGCACATTTCATTCCCTATGACATCCCTACAATGTGGTCTCAGTCATGGCAATGTTTATCCAGAAAGTAGTCTGTTTGTATGGGGTGTCGGAATCGATTGTATCGAATAGAGACAAGGTGTTCCTTAGCCACTTCTAGAAAGAGTTATTTAGGTTGCAAGGGACAGTCCTTAAAAGGAGCACCAAATATCATCCTTAGACCGATGGGCAAACGGATGTAATGAACAAGAGTGTAGGGATATATCTGCGTTGTTTTATATCTGATACATCAAATTTATGGGCTAAGTATTGGTATAATACTTCATACCACACCGCTATGCAGACAACCTCTTTAAATATATTGTATGGGCGGGATCCACCCCGCTTGATACCTTATGAGCATAGCACTACACCGATATCCAGCATTGATCAATACTTAAAGGAGAGGGACGGGATACTAGAAAAGCTCAAAGGGTATCTTCTAAGGGCTCAACAAATCATGAAGAGGAAAGTGAATGGACACAGGAGAGAGGAGCAATTCGAACCAGAAAACATGGTTTACTTGAAGCTAAAGCCCTACCAACAGAAGACATTGGCTAGGATAAGCGAAAAACTCTTACCGAGATACCTTGGCTTTATGAGGTGATGGTACGCATCAAGGCAGCAGCCCGTTTGAAGTTACCACTAACATCCACACTACTCCCAGAGCGATTGGAGATCACACGCTCTCATTTACACTACCGTTGACACTGACAAAGAACATGAAGGTGATTCTGGAACCATTAAAGCTCAAGGGTGCGTCAAGAAGAAAGGGGAGAGAACAAGGTATTGTCATACTATGAAGCAACATGGGAGTCTTACGAGGTGATCCACAAGCAGTTTCCATCTTTCCATCTTGAGGACAAGGTACTTTTTTGGGAGAAGAGTAATGTTACGCCCGCACACTGCCGGTCTAGAAGGGACCGGCCGATAGCAGCCTAGCCCACAGGCGGTTTGCCTTTTGTCACGGGAATAAGGGGGGAACCTGAGCGAGACATATGGGAAGGAAAGGATGGGGTAGGGTCCACTCGAGCCATAATCACATATTCAAGGAGGGAAAATTGAGAGGAATTGGGAGGGAAGTTTAGAAGGAAAGTTTTCATATGTTGCATAAGGAGTCTATTAAAGGGGGAACCTAAGATTTGTTTTACTTTCATGCATGTTTGTTGTGACTGCTATTTTTCTTTCTTGTGGTTACCTAGCGGCATCTAGGGTGTGGGAGATACAATCTATCTCTCGAATAGTAGATCAATCTTGTATCCTGCTTGTTTTCCTTGATTTTTGTAAGAGCAACTCTTAGGTGTTTTTCCACTTATCTACTGAAATTTCATTGTGGTTTGTTCACTGATTTCAGTGTCGAGGCGTATCAGAATCACGTTGAATAAAAAAGTTGTGTACCACATCCCTTATCACCATACTACCAAAACTCCACTAGATTCTTATTGATGATGCACCTATATCATGCTACAAATCTAAAAATCTGACAACCAAAAATAGTCAATTAACATTGATTTGACACACTCATAATTGGATTCATGGCAACCTCATTTTGTTCATGTTGTGTGGCCATCCAAGAATCAACTTAAAAAAAGTCCAGACTTTTTGTTCTTCTAAAAAAAGTCTATTTATGATTTGTTTGATTAGATGTTATTCAAAATGCATTATTTTTTAAATTGCGAGAATTGTTTGGTTGGATTCAAAGAAAATGCATTGAAACAAATTTCAATGCTTGTTAAGGCACATTAAATACACCTCTCTATTTTTCACCGTTATATCTTCTTCGTAAACTTGGAAAGGAGGCAATAGGTTAAGATCAAGGGGTGATGGATGAGGTTGTGAGTGCAAATAAAGGCCAAGTAACAAAGAAACACAAGCAAGGCCCTCAAATCCAGGCAAAAGTAATGATGCAAAGACAAGGAAATGTGAGGGGGCAAGGAAACAATACGATATTGAAATTTAAAATTCACTTCTTCAAACAATTTCCTAATGCAAGCCAAATAGAAACTTTGGGGCATTCAAACCTCCCAATTTTTTTTAATTTATTTTGCTTCAGAAAAGTTAAATTTAAGAAAATGAAATGCAATACATCACTTATGCATAAACATAAGTTTTTTACTTATTTGTAAAAATATCGACTCAATATTAGTAGATCATAGGCAATTGTTAAATAAAGTATATCTTCTCATATTGTATTTCTTCCACCAATTTCACCCATTATGAACCTTCTTATAGCTCATCCTATTGGAAGCTATGACCATCAAACTACGCTCAACAAATATCCTTTCTTTTAAAGGCATACATTGTAGCAATTATCCATCCCTTTTGTTGAAAAGCTTAACCACTAACAAAAATTATAATGTTTCACAAATACTTACCTTAGTATCAGTCATACCTTACCCAACATTACCTACTTTTCACCATAATCAGGGTAAGTTAAATGAACTACTTATGTTCAAGTAAACCCTTGCTTTTCACTTCAATCATATTAGAACATGGCCTGCTGCTTTTAAAGAATGTCTTAACCCAATAAATATTAAAATTTGATAACATTTCATTAATTTGACCATGTTATACAATTGATTATTAACTTAACATCAACCCTCGTTCCAAACTTAAGATTGAAAAGGAATCTTTTAAAGCAAATTATACAGGTCGAGTGTAAAAGCATTCAACATTAATAATGGATAATGAAGATTCATAAAGCCAAACACAAAAAAAAGTTGCATAAAGGCTAACAATAATGAGGTTGATAATTACTTCAATGAAGTATTCAGAAATTTAAACAAAAACATGAAAAGGTAATAATGATAAAACTAAAGCAATTCAAAATATCAAGCAGGGACTTAGATAAAAACCTTCAATAGCACCCATAGCAGCCATGGCGTACGATGGAGTTGTAAAATCAACAAAGCAAAGAAGAACGGGGCTTCCACCATCCTGAAAAAAAAAATCAAAATCATTAGTGCATTGTCAAAACATGAAACTATATTAAAAAAACTACTTTCCAAGAAAAAATCATAACAATTCCACAACTGTAGTGATGAACGTACATATTTAGGTTCTTTCTTCACTAGACGAACGTCCTTGTAGCCCAAAAAGGGGCGAAATATATCTTTATTCAACATTAAGAAAAGAATTCTAAGAAAATAATGATAGAATTATTCATTATGCCCAAAGATTCAAAAGGATACGTGCCACTTCCCTCTCGGCGGCATCCCGTGGAAGTCCTTCAACAAATAAAGTACAAGAAGCCTCGGGCGGCAAGGGAATCTCCCTTTCATTAACCACAGGACGAACCATAGGATCCACAATAGTTTGGATGCCAAAACCCAAGTTCATATTACTATTTTCCACCAATTTTGGTAGTCCCAAAGATTTAAATGTAGGGTCAGCCAACATGGCAGGGTCTTGGTAAGAAAATCCTGATTTGCCTCCCCTAAGCCCATATATTTCTCTACCAGTAGATCCACTCACACCTATGGGGCCGACTTGTGAACCATAAGAAGACAACTTTTGCTGCACAAATTAGATTCACAATTATCAAAATTCGTTGCATCCAAAGTAAATAACACCAAAAAGCTCCATGAGGATTTGAATACTTTTTCCTGAAGATAGTGATCATATGATGCTCCGAGTGCTTGGGTATCATTTATAGGTTGAATGCTACCATGCTGACTACGTGGTTGAAAGATTTGAGCTTCTTGACCAATATAAGCCCCAGTTGCAACATCTGTGCCATTTGTAAGATCAAGGAAGTCAGGTACACAATCGCTTAATAAATACAAGATGAGACAAACTTAAAATGATGGGGGAGGCGGGGGAGAATTGAATCTCTATAGTGCCACAAATAGTATCATGTTTTTTTTCATGGAATCTTACACAAGAAGTAATTAAGTATTTATGCTAAAAAAGTACTAAAAACTGTTTTCAAAGAAAATAGTTCCCTTGACTGTCAAATGACCTCAATATGTAAAGCAAAACACATTAAAATGCATTTCATGACACATTAAAATGCATTTCATGTATAAAAAAAAAAAAATTGGACTAAAGCAAGTATCATAACCTCAATGGACTTGGACACCTCATTGCAATTTAAAAATATTGGATAATCAAGATTTCCACCATTTTTTTAGCATTTTTTTGCAGGAATTATTACAATTTACCCACAGCCAAAATATGTGATAATCTTCAACTCTCTGAAAGTGTTGATCAGAAAATACATGCAAAATTATGTTTTATTCATTCTATGCATGGGTAGTGAAACAATTATTTTAAAGTAATATGGCATTTTGAAAGAAACATCTAAACAATAAACGTCACTTCCACTAATATGAATTGTCCAAATATGCATTTGGCTAGCCACTAACTTACGTATTGACTTTAATGTCACAATTTATTTAATCATCACAAAAATAATCCAACTATTCTTCACTACCAAATAACTTAGTTCAAAAATACAAAACAGCATCAACAGCAGACAGTAATACAAAAACATATTAACTTGCAAATGTTAAAAGAATGACAAAGCCATACACCTCCTGCATACCTAATAAAATAAAGTTTTGGCAACCAGATCAAAAGCATGCCAAAATCAATAAATATCAATATTGTAAACTTTTATGATTATATTTGTCATGTGGCTACTTGAATTTCATGACAACTATTTCTATTTAGATAGCTACAGGAATTATGTTTCTGCAGTATTATTGAATCACAATCAACAAGCTGAACGGTCCAGCGAACAGAGTTTAGGAAAAGTCTCCAAGGAGAAAAAGTAGCCACACTTATCAAGATGAAAATGAAATGGGTGGGTCAAGCCATCAGAAATCAAAAGAGAAAGCAATCTGATTGATAACCACCACATATCTTTTGCATAGAGATCCAAATGTAATTTTTATTTGCAAAACAAATTCAAATCTGAAGTTCAATACTAGAATCCTAATTAAACTCTAAGCAAATAGGAAAAGCTTTTTAACCATTATCAGGAATTGAATAATCCAAACACCTGTCTCCGCGGACAAAGGATCTCTTTTAAAGCTATTTTCATTTCAAACAAAACTAACTACGGAGAATATTAAACATGAACTGCTCCAGAAAGACAGTATTTTAGTATCAATCCATATTGATTAAGACATATTTATTTTATATAACTCTTAACAAAAATAAAACTATTACTCCATATGAACCTGAGACCTGAGATTCCATAGTTTAGAACACTAACATTATTAATATTTCAATAATCATATAAGAAATATAAAGCCGCTATTACATTCAATATTACGAGCAATAGGTTCTTGCACTGATATAAACTTGTTCCATATTTAGTTCATCATGAGAGAATAACTAAATATGAATAGCAAATCAAATATACTAGTGGATATGCCATTAGTTTGAAAAAGTAAAAGAGGTTAATAATAATTAAATATTATTCTCAAATAAATATTTAAAATAATGTTATCAAAGTGCAATGCGATGTGCAAGGCTTTATTTTTGCTTCAAAACACTAAGGACAAAGCAAAACAACGCTTTTATTAAATAAAACGCTAATAGGTTATATAAAACCATTAATGTATAAAAATTTTCATTAACAATTATAAAATATAAAATACGACTTAAAAGTTGAAATAAAATAGAAAAAAATGTAGTGCAATACCTAACTTGGAGGCAATCATTGAGGGTGAGCAATTTATAATAGTTTGTTGCATAATTATGAACTCAAAAATTGCCAAAAAAAAAAAAAAAAACCTTATAACTCAAAATAAAATCTAAACATTAAAACATGAATAAACTACTAAAAATTCAAGTTTAATAAAACAAACCAAAATAATTCAGTAGCACTTTATTCCCTTTCGCTAAACTGTGAACCAGACCAACCTCTTTGTTTCAGCACTTCAAAGCAGTTTTAAAAACATTGGATTATAATAATTGATAAAGCTATATGAGACACTGGCAGTTGCTTAGTTCAAAATACAAAAAACAACGGATAGACGTATCGCAATATTACAATATATTTTTTAAGTTGATGAATGAGAAGATCGTGACTAACTATTAATTGTACTTTATGGTTATAAAATCATAGACATTTGTAGATGCCAAGGATTATTAAGCTACATTAATGCAATAATAACAAAATGCAAAAACCACAGTTTTGTCACTTACACACATGTTGCATATTTAACATAAAAAAGCGGCATTTATATACAAACCACCCAATTCCCATGTAGTTACATATCTAGCACCTAAAATTTAGTTTTTTTTTTTTTGCATTTATACCACCCAAATCTTTCATATTACATAAAAAAATATCAAAACATAAAACCACCTATTATTATGATCTATATCGAGAAAAGCCGCAATATCATGCACGTTACGACGAGATTTCCACTAGTATAGATTCTTATAAAAATGTGCTCAGGGGGAAGGAAAAAAACATTGCAAAGTCAGTGCTACTAGTCCTCACGACTCACCACTTAAATCCATTGAATCGAGACTCTTTTAAAGCGATAGAAAGTTAAAAATTGAGCGATTAAAAAGGCTCATTGGAAAAAGGCCTAAGAAAAAACTAGGAAAAGATTTGAATGGTACCGGATTCCGTGCGCTGCCGCTTCAGCAGTTTAGCCGATGGCTGAAGAGGCTGGCGGATCCAGTAGGCAGCCTCCATGAAAGATCTCCGAAAGGTCTCCGAAAATCTCCGCCCACCGCTTCCAAAACCCTAACCCTAGAAATTTGCCGCTCTCTTTAATTGCAAGACGGTCGGGTGGCCGACTGAATAATCAATTGGGCTTTTGGGCTCAAACTGAGCCCAGCAATACAAATAAAATTGAACTTATTTATTTATGTGGTATAATTATTTATTTTTAATGCGGGTATTCTTAAAATTGTGCTATCAAGTATTATTCACGTATTATTGAAAAATTTTAATTATCGTTTTGACTTAAATGATCAATGTGAGTTTACATATTTCATATAGATATTAATTTTATTTTCGAAATGTATTATTTTGCAGTATAAAATTAGTATAAATATCTTCATTTTTTCAATATTTTAAGCCGATATTTAAAATTTGTTGCATAAATATATAGAAAGTTGATGCAATTGCTAATTAAATATTTTATCTTTAAGAAAATAAAATTATTTATTTTTATGTGTATCGTCATTGGATGAGCTAACAAGCCAAACTCAAGCTAGCATAGACTCACCACGTTAGTTTATGAGTCTGCTCATAAAAAAATAATAATAATATAAAATATACTCAAAATATATTAAATTTTAAGACTTTGTTTTTAAAAGTATTAAAAAAATTTAAAAATAATATTTAGTATTTTATAATAAGTAATTTTTTATTATTTCTCTTTTAATTGTTCATTTTATTTATCATTTTATTATAGTATTACCTTAAATAATATTATTTTTTCTCTTTTATACTAAATAAGTCGTCTCTTGAGCAAGCTCAAACTCGTAGACATACCCTTAAGCTCAACTTGATAAAATTAATAAAGCTCAAGCTGAAGCTAAAGGTGGCTCGAGCTCGAGCTCTGCTCGATTTGGCTCGACTCGTTTACACCCTTAACATTAGCTAAATTTGTTCAATCATTTTCGACTCGTTTTGTCTCAAATTAAGTAAATAATAATAAAATAATGTTTAAAAGTTGAAATAATTGTAACAATATATAATATCAAAATTTTAATTTGTATAGATGTTTAAAAAAATTAGGTGTTAGATATATAATACATAAGAAATGGATGTTATGATGTAAATGTCCCTCATTTAGGTATTAGAAATATAAATATCTAATAATTGGAGTGTATGTAAATGTTCCTCATATTTTTAGGCCCTGTTGGATATCTTTTGTATCTAGGTGTAAGATATATAAATACATAAAAATTGAGTGGTAAACACTCAAAAAGGTCAGCAGGAATCTCGAGACAATCTAACCTTGAGATTAAAAGAGATGACGAGGATCTCTCAGAAGAAAAGTTACAAGGCATCATGAATTTGCCCGGTTGAAAACCGTCAACCAGCTAATCATAGGGTTGTCGGTCGACCAAATGTCAGACGACCAAAGGGCCACCCAGGCCAACAAGGGACAGGTATCCACACCATCAATCAGTCAAATAGTCTGACAACCCCAACAATCTTACAAGAAGCAGCACAAAACTCTATCAATAACTCCCTCAAAGATTGCTAAAGAACAATAATCAAACAAGCCAACCAGCCTACTAAAATACAAGCCAGCTGTCGCACTAAAAAACTGACTGGCTTCCCAAAGTTAAGGTCGATTAGTGCCCAGATGAAAGTCAACCCAAACAAACTCAGTTAGCAGATCTAAGGACGTGCTGAGTAAAAGATCCAGTCATGCAAAAAGACAAAACAATAATACTCTGTACAACCCCTTTACAACAGAGGTAAATCATATAATTTTATATTATGTCCCTCTACCTCCCATAAATAGAGTGGTCATATCATGTATCAAGGGCTTTCGGCTAGACCTACCTTTTATAGAGAGAACTCCCTCCCCTTCTCTTTCTTATAAATGTCACTTCCAATTTGTAAAATGGGTCATAGAACCCGAGAACACCCCAATTTGACCTAAAGGGGCAAGTCGTTGTGCATTCCCTTCTTTCTCTCTTTATATCTCTCTTTAGGCTCCTACCACTCCAATCTTTGGGCATGCCTCACAGGACAAATCTAGATTCAACATTATAAAAAGTTGTGGTGAGCGTCTAACAAGCTACCAATAAGAAGGGAAATAACACCAACGAGAAAAATATACCACAGAGACACTCCTAACAGAGAGCACGCCAAATAGTTCATGCAACAATATATCCAGGAACTGAAAAACTCATTTTTGTGTCTTCTTAGAGGTTTTGGCTCGTATATGAAAAACGCATCACTGAAATGAACAATCCTCTGACACTTAAAAAAGAACCTCCATCACCAGATCATCGCTACCAACTACTGGCTACTATCTAAACAAAACCATCGTCACCAGTATGATGTTGAGCCACCATTATAGTGTCTAACCACTGGCACCAAGGCGCCACCATCAATTTGGACTACTGTCATCGGGTTGTCGTTGTCACAGTCATTGAGTCACTCGTGCATCATCAAGCCATCATCGTCGGATCACCAACTCCAAACCACCACCATCATGTTGAACCTTTGATGACGGGCCACTATCGCCAAGTCAAGCCGCCATCATGAGATTATCGTCACTGTTAGACCTCCAACAATAGACCAATAGCCAACCACCATTGTTGTCGTCATGCCGCCACCCCCGGACCACCACCTCTATGTTGAACTACCGCCATCGAGCTGCATCATTACTGGAGCACTGAAATCGAGTTGACACCATTGCCACAATTAGTTCTTCATTATCAAATTGTCTTTTTTAGATCACCTTCACCTAGACTATTAAAATTGTTGTATCAATGTGGCCTAGCATCTATTGCCCTCTGTGATAATAAATCTACATTCTTATCACACAATCCCTATCACCAGTCTTCAATCGTCACAATATGATCGTCGTTGTGGCTTCCCTATTATTTTCTCTCATACTTATAATATTACTTTCTATTGTTTAAGACCAGACAAATTCTTGTAACATACATTTGAATCATGGAGCCATTTCAATTGGTCTAGGTCACCGCGGTTTTTTATTTTTATTTTCATGGTTATTTACATAAAACCTACTAATTTATTCTGTCTGTTTTTCCTTTTACTCGTGTGTATTGGATTTTTGCATAATGTAAGACATTAACATAACTCTTCCATCATGAAAGAGTAAATAATATAGAAAGAATATAGTTTTGGTATCTTATTGATGAGTTATGAGATGTTTATTATTATTATTGCAAGTTCATTCAAAATATAGAGAGCACCTATTCAATTTTCATAGTGCAAATGACTTCATTGAATAACACTTTATTAAAATAACATGATTTAACTTAAATCTAATCTAAACAATAAAGTAAAAGAGAAAAATTAAAGTTCATCTATTATAGCTTTATGTAAAATTTAACCTAACCTAACATACATAACTTGGCTAAACCTAAATATAACTCAGCATTTTGGTAGTATATATTTTTTTCTAAAAAGATTAAATAACATAAGAAATTTAATTTATTCCAAAATAGCCTTATCCAAAATTTATCTAAACTAACATGAATAAATCCAAAAAAAAAAAACACCTAAAGTAAATTTGTTAAATTATATCTAACCTTGAGGAGTGAAAAAATAGAAATTTAATATTAACTTGAGAACCTAATCTAACTTCTAACATAAACTTACTTAAATAACTTGAGTTAACTTAAATCTAACATAAAATAACCAAATCTAAAACCTAATCTAAACTAACATAAATAACTTAACCTAAATCCAACAAAAATGAGCTAAAATATTTTTGTTAACTTATATCTAACATAAAGGAGAAAATAAAACAGAAAAATAAAATTAATCTAAAATAACCTAATCTAATTTAATCTATGATAATCTAACTTAAATAACTTGAGATAACCTAAATATAACCTAAACTAATAGAAAATAATTTTGTTACCTTAAACATAACCTTACTTTATCTTAACTCAAATGCAATTAAAACATAATATTAAAAAAATTACTTAGCTAAAATTGCAAAACAAACATCAAAGTAACGTTAACAACAATAACAATAACAAAAACATTTGTCTGAAATTAATTTAAAATAAATTTAAGTTAATATAATTTATTTGATTTAAGGATGAAATGGAGAGAAAGAAAAAGGATAGCATACATTTCATCCAACAAGTAAATATTTAGAAAATTAGGTGCTATAATCATTGTTTTAATATGAAACCCATGAATTAATGCATGTCATGATTAAAAAAGTTAGAAATTTAATAGGAGTAACATCAAAGTCTATGCTTTACATATATAAATACAAAAATATTGCAAATTATATTTTTTTTTGTTTATGGGACTCATTTTGGCAACACGTGTTTTGGTCATCGTATATTTGACTACATTCTTACTCACTTATGATTAACTCAACGATTTGCCAATTAAGATTAAATGCCTTCTTTTTTAATAATATATATAAACACAGGGATTTGAATTTAGCTAGAAGAACGTTAACCACTTGATTATTTATTCAAATTTTGGCTCAAATTGAGATCAGATCGAAATAAATGAAACTTACAACAAGAAAAAATTTTGAATCAATTTTTTTTCAAGCCCAGCCCAGATCTGCTCGAAACCGGATCATTAACAACCCCAGTGATGTTAAGGCTATGAATTTAGCAAATTCATCTAAAAAATCCTTTATTACTCGAAAATCAATTCGAATTTTGGACAAAAAAAAAATGAGTCGCTAATTTTTCTCAAGCCGATTTTAAGCCGACCCTACTCGGCTCGAAATCAGATTATTAACAATCCTATACAGACAGTGTTAGACCGCATTAACAAACAATCAAAGTTAAATGACAAAATAAGAAAAATTAAATATAATTACTACAAAAAAAATAATGCTAGTTGATTAAAATTAATCATATGCCCCCTCGTGTACACATGGCCGGGATCATGCGATCTTATTGAGAGAGTAAAATATAGTTATGAGATTAAAGTCTAGTATAATAATGAACCACCTACCATTAAATAAAAATAAATTGATATTTGTCGTTGGGAGCCAACTCATGATGGGGAATCGTTCGCCATGAACGGCTGACCTTATCCAATAAATAATTTAAGTGTGTGGACTCTATTATTAGGTTCTTAATTTTCTAAGTACCATTCACGTCATTGC